CAAAATGTAATAGCATTTGACCCTTCTTCAGTTGTAGGGAGTATTGCTACAAAAGGAATAGACACAAAGTTGACGATTATACTCAAACGCTCAACATCCTTCCAAGTAAAAACAACAATTATATAACTGCACTATGAGCACTGATTGAGTGATATGGACAATTTAGAAAGATTCTCACACTCGATGCGTATCTGTTCCATCTCCGTCACTTCTGCGATTGATTCCTTTAGGTCTTCCACAAACTTGAGCAGCTCCTCGGCACTTTGAGCACAGAAGTTTAATACCTGCTTCTTGTCTGATCCGAATGGCGAGAGGATGGTGATTCCATGGGGGTAGTCTGTGGAGTACATTAAACTGTTGAGTGAAAAGCATATCTAAACTACTTTCCTGGGCGTCTTAGTTACAAGTGTGATCATAAAAAGACTTCTAAAGGTCACTCTGAGCTGCAAACTTGGGCTTGCTTGTAAAAATGTCATGCAGCAGGTATTGAATGGGACTGGGAGAATGACATTTCCAGAAATTGAAATGCAAGATTGGTATAAAACTGATACTAGTTTGATGCTGTCAGAAAAAAAAATAAAAAGACTATTGTGCTTAAAATAAGCCCTTTAAGATAAAGCAACAAATTACACAGTCCTTGTTTGCTTCGAATTTCGACAGATATTTTTTTCTCTGTGCAAGCTTGGAAATGGCAGATTTTTAGCAATGACTTAAGGAGATATCAAGAGGGGATTTTTTTTTTTTTTACCAGCATTGTGACTTACATTCATTTTCAAAAAGGTGAAACTGCATGCCAAGTAGTCCCATGGCTTTGCAGAAAGTGTAGGCCGCGGAGCTCTTCTTCTTTGGACAAAGCTTCAAGATCTGTAGAAGTAAACAACACCATGAGCCTTGTAGTAAAATGTTTGATGGACAAAACTGCCTATTTAATTCCTTGTTCCATGTTCTGAACACTTCCAAAAATCTTGCCAGAGATTTCCATTTTGCATAACAACATCAAAGGCAGTTGCGAAAGAACAAACTATTTGAGCATTTAAAAACATCTGTCACAGGCTGGGTCTCTGACCCAGCATTTTGTGTTTTATTTTGTAATTTTTGGAAGCTTTCATGTTAGTTTGGTTATAAGTTTGTGTTGTTCTTATTTACGGGTCAGTGGAGGTTTAGGTTAGTGATTGTTTATCATCTGTCTCGTTGGTTTCTGTGTTTGGTTCCTTGTCTAGTCTGTCATGTGTGTTAGGCCTGTTAAGCTTGTGTTGTC